AAAAAAGAATCTTAAAAAATGAGAATGAATGTCTTCCAACGACGTTCTAGACAAACCTATTACACATTTTATTCTTGAAACATATGCCATATTCACAAGGGCAACAGAAAAAAAAATGCCCTTGTCATTTCCTACAAGATGTGATTCAGAAGATGTGTGATTACTGACTTTTTCTGTAGGCATATGTTGCCCAGTGGGTTGTAACACTATTCAAAGGTCTGATTCAGAAAGAAAAAATATGGAGGGGATGGATAAAGTCAGAGTAGTTATGTACCTGTCCAGTATAGTGAAGTCCATTTACAAAACCAGGACAAAATACTTCAGAGTATCTGTAATTTGGTTTCCCAACATCCTTTTTTATTATCCTGGTAACCTTTTTATTTGGCTACCAAAAACTTGGAGTGAACATTTACCCTGGAATATTTCAGGTCTGAGATCATTTAACTCTCAGGGAAAACAAACATACACAAATACTGCACACATTTAAGCAGCTTGTAATTCAGCTTTTTTTCTTTTTTTTTTTTTTTTTAATCTCCAGGATTACCTATAGATAGCACCAGTTAGCTCACTGGGAAACAAACCATGTGACCACAGACTGAACGATTCCTTTTCTAAAGATATATTATCTTTAATAAAAAGGTTTAAATTATATTCCACTTATAAATCCAAAATTTAAAGCTATTTTCTGTGAAACCAGACTGTGATACCTGCTCCTAAAATCATATTGCAAGCCTCTTGCTACCTGAAGATAAATTAGAATAAAGTTGGAGAACTTTAAGGTTACTATTTAAAGACACAGGTTGGCAGCCCAGTTTAGAAATGAAAAAGCCTATTAAGAAAAAGCCTATTAACACACTTGCTTGCTGATCCCACCATACTGCCAGATTTTATTTATTTTTTTTTAAAGATTTATTTATTTATACAAGAGCTGGGGTACAGGCCAGAGTTGCGGGAGGGTGAGAGGATTCACCAGAGTCAGAGTGGGGAACACAACAGGCAGACAGACTGAAAGCACTGTTGAGGGGAGCAGTGGGCGAGCCAGGAGAGGTCCGCCACATCGTGTGGGAATCTCCCTTGCCTCCAGGAATCCAATCCGAACTGCAGAGGCTGCGGACAGCTTCACAGTGCAGCGCTCTACCTGCTGTGTCACCGGGGAGGCCCCACTGCAGATTTTAAATTTACTAAAACTATACAAGTTTATTTTACAAGGTGAGGAAACTTATATAATTCATACTAGAGGGGAGATCCTATATTTACAAAATACTAACTATGTAAAACAACGGTAGTCCAATAAAATTTAAAAACAAGGTAATTCAAACTACAGCAATTAGGTGTTGAGTTGCAGTGAAGTCAAAGTTTTTCTAGAAAGTGAAGAATTCTTCATTTGCTTTAAAGAACTGTTAGATTGTTCCCTAGTTACTATCTCACCTTAAGATCACCCAGTCAGCAATAAATATTTTCTCAATGCAACTCAAAAACAAAAACAACACATGGTTTTATAATAAAATAAGAAGGCTTGTCCATTACATTCCTCTGGTAGAATATTTGTCTTGAAAATTAAGGAAAACTATTTTTAGAAAAAACTGCTGTAACACATTGACTTCCAAGGAAATTAAAGGAAAAGGGGGGGCAATATATAATGTGTGTAAAAACACATACGTGTGTTTCTCACCCAGCTGGAAAGTACACTGTGAGGCAAGGGAATGCTGAGCATTTTTTTTGCAAGGACACAGCTGACCAAACCTCAGTGCACTCACCATCCCTGTCTTCCACAACACCACCGTGGCTTGCATCCTCTCCACTTTCCACCCACCATTTGCAGAATGCTTCTCTACAGCCATATGGATCTAGATGATGAGTCATCCATCATCACGATTCTCTTCTTGACCTTTCCACGTTCAATCACCTTTAGCACATGCACACCCTCCGCAGAGCGTGTGCCCCACAGCATAAGGCTTTTACAGCTGAACACAGAACCAACCATTCCCGACAACCCTCACTTTGCCAAGTGGATTTATTCCAGAGCTTGAAAGAAAACTCACAACTGAAAAAATGACCAGATGGGCTTTCAAGGAGAAAGATACAAACTAAATCAGTTCAGAGAGTGACGTACTTGACTAAAAACAGGTCTATGATGTAAAAGAACTTCAGTCCCTGAGAGGAAGCATTATGGCAAAAGCAAAGCAATAAAAAGATACATAAAACATTCCATAACTGGAACTGACTTCCCAACTTCGTTTGACTAAATATTTTTAAAGCTATTTTTTTTAACTCAACACTTTACACTGTCACCAAAAAATATTTATTTAGAACCTGAACATCATGTACGAAAACAAACAATATTAAAACCTCACACTGTTATAGCACTTACTAGATGACTCTCCAGGGACTTTACATAGATCCACTGACCTCATTCTTACAAATCTTTTTTGAATCCCCGATTGTTACGAGGCATATGATGCACAGAAAGGTAAGATGACTTGCCCAAGGTCACACAAAATACCAGTAAATGACAGAGCTAGGATTCAAAACAGGCAGTCAGCACTGACCCAGGTTAGTGGTTATTACCAAAGGATTTTAACATAGACGATCCATTTAAAAACAGATTTTAGGGCCTCCCCAGTAGCGCAGTGGGTTGAGCGCTGCACTGTGAAGCTGTCCGCAGCCTCTGCAGCAAGAGTTCAATTCCTAGCCTCCCAGGGAGATTCCCACAAGGCGCACCAGACCTCTCCTGTCTCACCCGCTGCTCCCCTCAGCAGTATACTTCAGTCCTTCTGCCTGTTCTGCTCCCCGCTCTGTCTCTGGTGAATCCTCTCACCCTCCCACACCTCTGGCCTGTACCCCAGCTCTTGTATAAAAATAAATAAATCTTAAAAAAAAAAAAAACACGGTTGAGCACTGGGTTGCAAAGCTGCCCGCAGCCACCAGGTGAGGGTCCCACATGGCCCTCAGACCCCTCCTGCCGCCCGCTGCTCCCCTCAGCAGTGTATTTCGTCAGTCTGCCTGCACTGCTCTCTGCTCTGGCTCTGGTGAATTCTCTCACCCTCCCGCGCTTCTGACTGTACCCAGTTTTTGTACAAATGAATAAATAAATCTTTTAAAAAATAAAAAAAATTTTAAAAAACGATTTTAAATTTACTAAAACTATACAAGTTTATTTTACAAAGTGAGAAAACTTAAGTAACTCAGACTAGAGGGGAGATTCTATATTTACAAACTACTAACAAGTATATAAACCAATGGTAGTCCAATAAAAATTTGAAAACAAAGTAACTCAAACTACAGCAATTAGATGTTAAGTGGTAGCAAAATCAAAGTTTATCAGTCATGGCAAAACCCCATACAAGTAGAAGGGAGCCAGCTTTTGTGCATTAAATATACAGAGTCTGGAGAAATTAATGTGCCCTGGAGAAGCATAGGAAAGGTGATTATAGCCAAGAAACTCAAAAAGCTCAAAGGGGAATCAAAGGGTGTAATACCTAACATCAGTCACAATGCCTGCACCTGTCAATCTTCATCCATTCTCTCAGGAATGGCACCTCCTTCCCATTTCACTTCTGTTACTCAAATTCAGACCTTCAACATTCCTTGGAAAAAATTATTTAACAACCTCTTATTTAGCTTCTAATCACCACCACTTTCCCACCTCTGCACCTAATCTCTCCTGTACTGATAACAAAATTTCAAAGACACAAATCTGCTCGAGTTGTGCCTCTACTTAACAACTCTCTGGTGATTCCTTTAGCCAACAACTTCCTGTTCAACCATCCTCGTGTAGAATCAATGGTCAATTTTTAAATCAGGTTCATGTATTATTTACCAAATGATACTAAAGGATATACACAGCTAAAGTTAAGTCTCTTCCCCAAACTTAATCCTTACCAAGAGTGCAATATTCTCAGGTTTTGACATGCTTTTAAGGAGAGATAAGACTGTGTTTGTATATATAGAAAGTATAGAGAGTAATATCATACTATCCCTCTATTTTTACCGAGACAATAGTTTGTCTACTATACTGCAACACTATATTGCAATTAGCTTTTTCTCAATTGGCAGTTTATCTCAGAGCTCTATCATAACACATACAGTACACATTATTTGGTTAATAAACATAACAAAATATAAGGTATCCTTATGATACATACTAGGCTGTTACCAGTTTTTTGCTTTTTATAAATAATGCTGAAATAAACACCCTCCCAAGACATATTTTTAGACAAGAAGGAATTACTGAGTCCAAATGTTTAAAGTTTGCTAAACTGGTCTCTAAAGTTACCAGTTTTATAATACTTATTTCCTATATTCTCAATAATAAATTTTTAGGCATTCTGGGCCTCCCCAGTGGCACAGCGGTTGAGCGCTGGGTTGCAAAGCTGCCCACAGCCTCCGCAGCGCCGGTTCGATCCCTGGCCGCCAGGAAAGGGTCCCACATGGCGCACAGACCTCTCCTGCCGCCTGCTGCTCCCCTCAGCAGTGTACTTCGTCAGTCTGCCTGCTCTGCTCTGCCTTCTGGCTCTGGTGAATTCTCTCACCCTCCTGCGCTTCTGACTGTACCCAGTGCTTGTATAAATAAATAAATAAATCTTTTTAAAAATTTCATTTTAAATAAATAAATAAATTTTTAGGCATTCAATCTTTGCTAACAGGTAAAAAAAATCATAAATCATGATTTTAATTTGCGTGGTTTATTGTGGATGAACAAACCTCTGGTTTATGATATGTTATACTTATGATGACTTAGTTATGGAAATAAAAGGCACCACATAAACTGTAATATTAATGGAATTTTACTAAGTAATTGCTTAAGTCAATAGTTCTTAAGATGACAATCTGAAGACAAAGGACTTAAAAGGTTTCATCGCAGTGGGTTTCTATCATGTTGACAAGTTGGATAAATATCTGAAAGTTTAAAAGAAAAAATATTTTGCAAACTAAGAAATTAAGAGAGTGTGCAAGGAGATGACAACCAAAAATCCAGTTTGCCCACAGGTTCAACTCACCATCCAGTAGCCAATGCTGGCCACGACGATTCTCCAGCTCTGACATCATCAGACGTGTGATCACATGATCTGGAACCAACAGACCTTTCTCTATGTACTGCTTTGCCATATCACCCACTTCTGTTAAAAAGAGGAAAAGAGACACTCAAAATAGCTTTTTTTTAAAAAAGTACTTACAAACTTTTTTCTTGTCTCCCATTCCTCCCTGTTGCTCCCTGGGAAGGGGGAGAGGTGTGGTAGATGCTTTTTAGGGTAATACCTTAAATATCGGTTTCAAAAATGGTGGCAATAGTTCCCATTCATCTCCTAAAGACGTACAAAGGCATCTCTTGAAGATATGCACAGCCAGATGTAAAAATAAAGTAGGCAAAGAGAAAGTAAGATTGGACACCCAAGATGGAGTCTAGAATTCTGGACAATGGTATACAAAAGGTCAAGGAAGAAATCCTGACTACTTTCTAGAGATGAGCCACAAATTGGGTTCAGAGCCTCCCAACAGTTCAAAACAAGGATATGTGATCAACTCCACGGCTCATGGTATACTAAAGACTAAAGGAAGCCACAAAGCCCGCCAATTCCTTAGAGACCAAAGGTAAAAAGTCCATCAGTCTTCTGAAAAGAATACTGGATAATACTAACAACAGGTTCATTTCTTCTCATGAGCCTCAATCTAAGCAGATGGCACCTTGCTGACACAGTTGTAAAAGCAACTCAGTGTTATCAGTGGAATGCCAAGTTCATAAAAGGATAGGAATTTAAAGAAAAACATTTTCAGAAGGAAATGTCTTTAAATTTAAAATTACAATTTTTTACATGTAGAAATTATAAGGTTCAGCAGAACAAATCATTAATTCAAATTTTTCAAATTTCTATAAAATTGAATTCTTTTTTAACAAAGATAAAGTCTGCTCTCCAGGGCATCATTAAGAATCACATTCTTGACAGGCCAATTAAGTTTTAATAAAAACATCACAAAGAATCATATTACTGAGAAAAAAGCTCAAGAATCATTTTGCCCCACCTTCACCTTGAATTTAGATGGTGCCTTTTCTTTCCCAGACTAAGTCTACACCCCTAACTCCAGCCTCAGCATTAAATACAGGCTATGAAGAGGTCCCTATCTCTGATTGCTGGCTACCAGACAAATACCGTGAATGAAAAAACAGTATCCAAAGCGATGCCCCCAAGGCCTGAGTATCTCCACTAGATGGATCATATGTACCTCCCATTGACAGCCCAAACTCAACATGTACAAAACCACACTTTCCCCTACCACCATGCTGTTGCCCTAATGTTTCTTGCCTCAGTCAATAGCATCACTCTCCTCCCTCCATTTTTTGCATCAAATTTAACATGAAGCTGGTGAAACCCTAGTTCCACAGTGCAATATCTCAAATATCTCCCAAATGATCAAAATAGAAGAGCCCAACAGTCTGTGGAACAACAGCGGTTGTGAGAAGAGAAAAGCACAGTGATGGCCCTACACAGCCACGGTCACCTTGGCGGATGGCTCATCAAAGAGCAAAGACAAGGGAAGGAAGCAGTGAGTCAACACTCCGAACCCTGATTTTCAAATCTTGACATAGTGAAGAGGAGACAACTCGCCAAAGAAATCAGACTAATAAAGGATCTTGAGGATCAAAGTGGCTCCTTTGTTCATGTCAATTATCGACCTACAAAATCAAAAGATGGCTTCTGGGATCTTCAGCATATCAGTCAACCAAAAGAATTATTAGTAATTACCTAAACAGGATTCTCGGCTTACTTCACTCTCAGTAGCATTCAGATTATTCCTTTGCCTACCACAACTAAAATGACTTTTTAAAAATGCTAACTGAGGGCCTCCTTGGTGGAGCAAGGGGTTAAGTTGCAGCACTATGAAGCTATCCGCAGCTTCTGCAACACAGAGTTCCATCCCTGGCCAGGGAGCTACTCACATTGCACAGCAGACCTCTCCTGACTCGCCCACTGCTCTCCTCAGCAGTGTGTTTCAGTCAATCTGCCTTTTCTGTTCCCCACTGTCTCTGGTGAATCCTCTTACCTCCTACCCCCGCACCTCTGGCCTGTACCCCAGTTTTTGCATGCATAAATAAATATTTTTTAAAAATGCTAACTGATAGGGCCTCCCCTGGTGGCACAGGTGGTTGAGCTCAGTGCTGTGAAGCTGTCCACAGCCTCTGCAGCACCGGTTCGATCCCGGCCAGCAGGGGAGGGTCCCACATGGCACGGCAGACCTCGCCTATCTCGCCCGCTGCTCCCCTCAGCAGGTGTATTTCGTCAGTCTGCCTGTTCTGTTCCCCATTCTGCCTCCTGTGAATCCTCTCTCACCCTCCCACGCATCTGGCCTGTACCCCAGTTCTTGTATAAATAAATAGAAATCTTAAAAAAAAAATGCTAACTGATAATAACCTTCCAATGGCTTCCCATTTCATTTAAAGTACAAGACAAAGTCTTCACCTTGGTGTATAAGTCCCTGTGTGACCAGGTCTTAGTTCTCTGTCCCACTGCCTACTTCCCTCTCCATTGCTCATTCTATTGCATTCATATCAGCCTCCTTAATCCCGAAAAGAACAAACAAGTGCCAGCTTCGGTAACTTTGCATTTGTTGTTCCCTCTGGTAGAAAGCTCCTTCACCCAGTACTTCATTTAGCTGATTAATTATCATCTCAATTACACCTTTCACTCTATCAAAAATGACATAATGACACATACCCATCACTTAACCAGTCTCTTATCCTACTTTGCATTGTTTTCCAGAACTCCATACTACATATTGATGTATTTGTTAACTTACATACTACATATTGATGTATTTACATACATACTACATACCACATATTGATGTATTTGTTACATACTTACATACTACATATTGATGTATTTGTTAACCTATTTTGTATTTGTTAACCTATTTTGTATTTTGTTAACCTATTTTGTATTTTGTATTTGTATTTGTTAACCTATTTTCTGCCTCCCCCAATTACAATATTACTAGCTCAATGGGGAAAAAATGAAATATTTTGTTTAATGCCATATCCTCAGTACTTAGAATATACTCTGACATGTATTCAATGCTCAAAAATTTTTGCATGAATGAAGGAACACTCTGAAAATAGAAAAATCCCTCCCCTAGCAAAAACAGTCTGATATCCCTGTACATTACAGAACTATGATTCCAAGATCTAACGACAGGGCCTCCCCAGTGGCGCTGCGGGTTGCAAAGCTGCCCGCAGCCTCTGCAGCGCCAGTTCGATCCCCGGCCACTCCCAGCCACCAGAGGAGGGTCCCACATGGCGCACCAGACCTCTCCTGTTGCACCCACTGCTCCCCTCAGCAGTGTATTTCGTCAGTCTGCCTGTTCTGTACCCCGCTCTGGCTCTGGTGAATCCTCTCACCCTCCCACACATCTGGCCTGTACCCCGGTTCTTGTATAAGTAAATAAATAAATCTTTAAAAAAAAGAAAAGAAAAGAAGCGCAGGGCCTGTGTGACTACAGCAGTGTGAGATCTGGCTGGAGGCGTGGGCAGAGTGGAATCAAAGGAGGCAGGACAGTAAGCCAAACAAGAGAGGACAGTGTACAATACAGCAGAAGCAACATTAGAAAATGTTCTGACCCTTGAGAGAGTACCTCAAGCTATCCCCATGTTGACTATGCAACTCCAAGTTTAAAATAACTCTTTGGAAGACTTCCAGAACCATCTTAATCCAATTTACTAATTAAGAGAAAGATCTTAGCACAACATACTTTTCCAGCTGTTTTTGGCAGCCTTGGCTCTTCTACAGCAGAGCAGACAACATGTCCTCTATTTGACACAAAATCAAACTTCTACCACAGCTCTCCATCCCTACCATGGAAACCCAGAAAAACCAATAGCCAGAGCCAAATGGACTTAACAATATATCTGCATCAAATGAAGACATCACTATAGCAGCAATCTGAAATAAAGCATTTATCAGAAAACAGGAAAGCTGGACCTCCATCTGTCCTTGTTACTTTGCTTGAAAGACAAAGTAGTATAATTAAATGCTAATGCTAGTTTGCCTAAAATACAAGCCCGCTCCAATTTTTCAAGTAGTATTCTAGACTATAGACATATATACAATTCTCTTACACAGCTTTTGTATCTTTAATGTATGCATACTCAGAAGAATAATTTACAAACTACAGTAAGATTTCAAAAGTAAACTTAATAAATTTAGAGTGCCAAAAATAGGCCATTTTTAAAACTTTACAATAAAAAGAAAATCCATCAGGTATTTATGAAATTAAGCAGAATAACAATGATTAAAGCCATATTTGTAAAAATTTTCTTCAGAGAAGGACAGAATTCATGTCAAGTTATAAAATGGTAGGATTATAAAACTATATTACCATTCTCAAAGTTATTAAATATAGAAGAAACTCAATTTACCACCTATTTTTAAAATATAAATTTTTTGGCAATGCATCTTAACAACCTATTCCATCCAATTACTATTAAATATAAATTAAAATAAATATGATCTTGGTAACCTTGAGAAATGTATATTTTAAATTTCTAACCAGATCAAATAATGTACACTTTTTCAGAATTTAAAGGTATCTATCTATTTAAAGGTATCTATTTTAAAGCTATTTAAGATAATACCAAGTTTAAAAATTTAAGATATACAGAATTTAAGGCCACCTATTAAGTTGGTCATCACTTCAAAACTAATGCTTCCAAGGTTATGAAAAATTCTTTTTAATGATCTCAGTTCTTTCACATTAAAGTTTGTCCAAACTCACATGAATAGACTAACAGATTATTGTATTCATGGCAGCAAACATGAGAAACCATTGCAAACTGTTCAATGATGTTGGACTGACACTGTGAATTATTTTAATACTAGATTAAAAAATGCATTTTTCTAAATAACTAGGACAGACAACTAAAATAGCACTTCTTTAGAAAAACCATAACACACCCAATACACACATACAAATTCATTCTACAGCCAAACATCCCCTCGCCCCCGCTCTCCAATATTCAGGACAGATAGCTTAAACATTTCAAAAGCTGAATGACTTCCAAACAGAAATAAATCCACAAAGATCCGAAATATGAAAGGCATGTCATGTATTGGAGTGGGGGGAATGG